GGATCAGGAAACTGGCTGGGGCTTACACGGACTGGAGGTCCACATTTATAATCTGGATTCAGTCTGCCTTCAATCTTCCAATTCTGAGGAGGAGTGAACGAGGAGCGATTGAGATCCGGAGGCATTTTAAAGACGTTTATCTGGAATGCTGAAGCAGACTTGCTTGGGTCCATGGCAGGTGGCAAGATCGTCCCATTTCGGCAACAGAAAGGTATCATCCCCAGCTTTGTGTCATTGGTCTTTTCCAGAGGCAGATCAATTATTGTTGGCCTTCTCTCACAGTTCAATCCATTGGAGAAGTCAAGGCTCTGATAAAATTTTCCCTGTGGCCCGAAAACGCAGTCAGAAGTATCAACAACAGAGGGGTAAGCACCCTTCATTTCCCAGATAAACTCATCCTTCATCCAGTCCCAACTTAGTCTCCAGTTATCAAGGCGGCCGAGGGGGTTATGGTTTGCAATCTTAACCTGTGCCCAGTAATTTGAATCATATGTTCTTAGGATATCGTACATAATTGTAAGATCCCCATCTTTCCGTGGACTGAATTCCTCATCCAATGTCAGATTTGTCTTGAATTTTGGGTCTTTAGCGCAGCATACTTGCATAACACTCTTTCCTGAACAATTAAGCATAGAAAATTCAGATATGCTACAAGTGTACTTAAAAAGAAAACGAAGAAGAAATTACTCAGGCAGACATAAATTTTCCAAATACTATATGAAGTAAAGTTATAAACTACCAAAGGTTTTTTTTATAAAGAATCCAGGAGAAGCTTGAAATACCAAAAGTTATTGACAAATCAAACATCCATGAATTTACTGAAGAAAATTTGCAAAAGATCCATTAGGAATTCTAGGTAAGACAGCCAACATCAAATTACTGATAATCTATATAAACTATATAAGTACCTCTTAAGAACTATCACAATTCAGACATAATGCTCCATCCAAGTTGACATAGTAATGAACCAAATTCTCCAGAAAATTATTCGTCTATGTAACCGTCCTTATCACTCTCGAATAAATCTAATTTGAAGGAGGAATAGTCATTAGGGTAGATCATCAATTGTTTTTTAGCTAATAATTTTAGTAAGCAATCATCAGTGAACCAATTTGAATGTCAAATTATTTGAAGCAACAACGATGACCAGCTTATGACCCTCACCGCAGAATTCAGATCTAAACAAACTAAAGCAATTCCACTTTGCAAATAGCACAAACAACTAATCCATTAAAATTCAAACATTGACCTAAATTTCATAACTAAAGCAGACAAAATAAAGTTACATAAACAAATCAATCAAATTATTCAAAATATGTCTGCAATAAATGAAGCATTGCATCTATTCATATTAAGAGGTGCACAAATGAATTTAAATCGAATCCATACCTTGGATAGAGGGTTTAGGGCAAATAAACCCATCATTGACCAAAGAAATATTCGACGGCATAGGGACATTGGGAGACCCAACTCCAAACTGGGTACCCGTAATCTGAACCTGCACACTCGTTTGCGTAGCATCTCCAGCAGTTTCAATAGCAGTCTTAAGATCCGCATTCGGAAACCCAGCAAAGACAGTACCATTACCAACTTTAGCAGGTAAAGAAGAGCCATCAGCAAGAACAACATTAGAAGCTGAGACCAAAAGCTCATCGTGTTGAAACCCAACAAAGACTCTCCATAACTTTAGTTCGTCAAGCCCGTTGTTTGTTATGCTTAAAATGGACTGAAACTTGTAGGGTTGATTTTTAGGGTCGGAGGGTTTGATTTTGGATCCGGAAGTGAACACGTACTGTAGGAATATGCCGTTGCAGTCGTCGGATGCGGGAGCCGGAGCTTCGGCGACTGGAGATGTTTGTCCGGCGACTTGAACGGCGACGGAGATGAGGAGAAAGAGAGAGAGAAATGTAATGGGTGCCATGTTCTTTGAATGTGATTTCGGATTCAAAGACATTTTATGTCTGAAAAATGAATTTTATATACGTAGATATGTTTAGTCGTGTGCGTGTCTATGTAAAACGCGGAGAGGGAAAAAGAAAGGAAGACGAAAGAGTGTAGACAGCTTAGGTAAAGCTGTGCTCTATAAATTAATTTTCTTTAAAAAAGTGAGGTTTGAAGAAAAAAACAGAAGAAGGTTTTTATTTTTATTCCAACTCAGTTTATGTGATTTCACTTTGATGTCAAACTTGTTTGACTATTTCTTATTAGCAATATTATTTGTTCTAATCTTCATTTGAGTTTATTTGACTCTTCAAAATTTGGTATGAAAAGTTTCTAACTATAAACTAAGACAGAAGTCGATATAAAGTGACATCTCCAAATATATTCTTATTACAAGAACATGTATGTTAATTCAGACAAAAAATAAATTCAATTGAAGTAAATTTGAGAATTCTTGGTTTCAGCATTTTTATCTAGATTAAGTGGGCGTTTGGACATAAGAATTGTAAAAAAGAAAATCAAGTAAAATGATATTTGAAAATTAGAGTTGTGTTTGGACATGAATATAATTTTGGGTTGTTTTTAAAATTTTGTGAGTGATGTGAATGGAAATTTTGAAAAACAGTTTTTTGGAGTTTTTCAAATTTTTGAAAAATTTCAAAATTCATATTTAAGTGAAAATTAAAAATTTTATGGCCAAATACTTATTTCGAAAAAAACTAAAAAAATTTTTGGAAAAAAGTAAAAAAAATTTATGTCCAAACGGGCTCTAAAATATGATTGATATTGTGATGTTTTCTTTCTGAATAATTCATTAATCATCCTACATAAAAAGTAAAATTATCGTCTTACAATTTTTGTATTTAGTCAAATATTATCGAATAAAATGAGATGAAATGAACGGAGTAGCGCTGTAGTACAGTGTAGTTTGATGTTTGGTTGGAATGGGATTCAAATAATGTAATGATAACGTGGCGTCTATGAATGGGTAAATCGCTGTTTCTTATTCTAATTTATGTTAACCTATTTCTTTTTTGTCCGTTCCAAAAAGAATAACTTCTTTCTAAATTTGAAAATAATTTAACTTAAACTTTCAATTCTACCCTTAATGAAAAATTTTTATAACAATACAAATACTCTACCCCTTTTTTGACTTGATTAGAACCCTAAATTTAAAAATTCTTCAATTTTTTTTAATTGTGTACCCAATCAAACAAGTTAGACCTGAATTAAAGCGGAGAGACTATTAGATTTGAAAATTGAAGAGTGGATGTATGCAAATAAACGTGAAGTGGGCCCACCGTTACTTTGGGTTACCGTTGAGAAGAACGTTGTTTGATTCTTTCAAAAAAGAAATTGGATTTTGTAAGGCTGAAAGCGAAATGCTTGTTTTGCTATGCCTTTGGAAAAAGTCATCCTGCGGATTGATACTTTCAAATATATTTAGAGTGTGTTTCGAATGGAGGAAGATATTTCTACTGAAAAATATTTTTCTAGGATATAAGTGATTGTTGTTATGAATAGTTTGTACCTTGGATACTACTTTGGATACTACATTGGATACTACATTGGATGCCCATATTGTGAATAACTTAAAGATTAAATTTCTTACTTTATGTCCATCATCTTTACTTTTTATGCCTATAAAAGGTCATGTAATTGCAATGGAAAAATACACCAAAGTGAAAGAAGAAAATACTTCTCCCTTCTTTCTATTTCTTCTTATTTACATTTTACTGCATTACTTTTATTTTATAACACGTTATCAGCACGAAGCTCTAATTTTATTCTTAACTCCCGCTAAGCTGAGCCATATTTTATTAAGGTATGTATCATTATAATCATCTTATTTATGGCAGTACATATCATATGCTCACTGTTTGCAGATTACTTGTGCGCTTGGGCATCTTAAATAGCTTAAGTACATTGCAGTGATTAAATAACTACTTCCTTCCGTGCTCAACTCTTAGAGGACCTCAAAGTCATCAAACTAGCTATGCACTAATGTCATGGACTCCCTGGATCAAAACATATCTTTAAGGCATTTTGAAGAACTGTGAGAAATGAATTGACAAGCAATAATTTTTTTAATTACTTTATATTTATTGAAACATATAAATAATATTAGTCACGTTCAATTCTATTAACACATATATATCAATAATAAGTGAAATGAAACAAGTATGTAATTTCTACTTTATGGAAAGAATAAAATGAAATAGTAGATTGTTAACATGATATAGCTCTATTTTCATTTCTTTTACCTTAATCGTTTTGTTTTCATTAAT